CATGTTACCTTCAGATGCATATGAAGAATGGGTTCGTGATATTTAAATCTTTCTGAACCAAGGTGTGCAAGAAAGCACGTTTCTACACTTTGCTTCTAGGGCTATAGTCTTCTTGTGTTCTTGGTATCTTCATTTTGCTGTCCATTTTAGCGTGTTGTAACCTTTTGCAATTCAGTTGGGATCATGCAATTTGTTCATGTTCTAAGCTCTAGTCTTTGAATGGGGCAAGACAGTTATGTAGTTGGGTAAAATTCACTTTTTGTTCCTAAACTTTGAGTTAGGTATACAGTTCATCCCCAAACTTTTAGACGTATTATCACATTTAGTATATGAATTAATTATTTTTTGCCACATTTAGTCCAAAAAGGGTAAATTACTTAATTTGGATGGAGAAAGTCACGTGTTTGGCACGTGGCCGTTAAATAAAAATAATTTCTTAGTCAAAATCAATGGTCACGTCAGCCTTCTCTGTCTAAATTAAATATTTTACTATTTTTGGACTAAACGTGGTTCAAAATAATTAATTCATGTACTAAATGTGGTGCGTCTAAAAGTTTGGAACGAAATGTTTCCTTAACTCAAAGCTTAAGGACGAAAAGTGAATTTTACCCTCATGTAGTTTGCTTTTAGTGTTTGCATGCAAGTGAAAACAGGATGCAGCAAGACAATGGACTAGATTGGAGTTAAGGTTGGTTTTGGTCACTGCAATGTTGCTGGTTTTTAGGACTTACAGTAGTTTGGGCTTGATGGTTTTCTCCAAGTGATAATAGATAAAACTAGGTGAAGGTGCCAAGGTTGCTAGGGCCATTTTTCCCATCTCCAGTCTTCTGTTGAGAACGAAATTAAGGCAGGCCGAATGGAAAAGGTGAACAGAGCGTTTCACAGATAAAGAAAACAGGAAGAAATTTCTCAAGGGAGACTTGTCGATCTTTCAATATTTAATAGATCCATGTGATGAAACAAAAGCAATTGATCAAGTCATATGAACTTGTCCATCCATCAAAACTTGTCAGCGAATTCATGGACGTTGTACTAAAAAGGGTTCCATTCTTTAAACTTGTTGAAAAGATATTCACTCATACAAGTGAATTTGCCAATGAAGAATTGAGTAGCTTACGATAAATGATAAATGCTTGAAGAAAATTACAGTGAAATGCATTGAACTCAAGTCACATGCAAGCATCTACGTTGGGTTACCATATTCTAAAACATTGCTTTAAAAGCTATTCCATCATTATAAAACTGTTCCCAGCAGCTACAGCTAGCAATTATGTCCTGTGGAAACTGGAAAGAATTAGGATCACATGCCATTCTCCACATGTTCATTTTGCCTGCCATTGCTGTGGAAATACTTTGGAACAGTGAATTAAAGGTTGGTGGTGGTGGTGGACACAGCAAAATAAATTCTGCTGTTCCTTTATGTGCTAGTATCAAGTTGTAGAACAGGGTCGGTGATCAGGAAAAGTTTTCAAAGGTAGAATATGTGGTTCAAGTTGGTAGAGAATTCAGAATCACGTATAGAACAACAATGGTCAGGGATTTCTTCTTTTTTTTTTTCAATCTTTTTGCAAGAATGAGGGTTTTCATGTTTTCTTTTAGGAATATTGAAACTATATATTTCTTTGAGCATATGCCACATTTCTGCATAATTTTGCTAAGCAAACCCAAAATTTTCTTGACAAACCATATATTTGTCAACAAGGCTAAATTACAGCATCCACAAGGATCAAAACCTAGTATATATTTGCCTGAAAGTTTATCATGATCATTAAGCTTTGATTTGCCAATGTATTGTTCCTTAACAGGTGAGAACTTGGTTTTTTGTGTTGGTAAGCTCTTAGCTTTGAAATGGTGTGAGCTTCCTATCCTAAACTATTTGCTTACCAACTAAAAATTAAGTTTTGAGTCTTCGACTATCCAATTTTACATGAAAAATTTCTTCCCCCAATTTCTACAAAAGCAGTAAATATCGAATTAGTTCGAACTAGTAAAAACAAGAATAGCCAAAAAAAAAAAAGTAATGTGTAATAAAAGTTGAGGCCTTCATCTTTTTATTTTAAAATTTCCCTTTTTTTAAAATTTTTCATCAGCAGCTGAGATAAAATATTGATGAACAAATCCAAGATGTTGGGCACACAATCATATCAAACTTATAATTGGTGGTTGATTTTGATGAATTGTGGTACAGTGACACATGCAAACTGTAACTTGGACACTGACATAGATACAGACATCCATTGATGATCAGTATCATCTTAATAATTGATCCAAAATTGGTGACTCTCATGTGCTCGATTGGGAAGGTAAATATAGCAGTGATCATATACAGATCAAAAGGTTGGACAAAAATATCCTGTTGGGATCGATGCATGTATCAATTGAGATTGTTTTTTTTTTTCCCCAGATTTTATGGTCCCAGAAGGCAAAATCGTATCTTGTTTCACAATTTGATTGAAATATACCCTTTTCATTGAAACATCTTGTGTGATGTAACTTCGACCTCTGCAACCAAAAGCTTCAGTCAAACATGTGAAATAGTTTGAATCATTTCTGCTAACTGAAGAATGATGGGAACATGTGGATGGAAAAAGAAAAAAAAAATTTTGGGGTGCTCTCACGGGATTTAGAGTAAAATGGGAACTTAATTGGATGGATAATAAACCTGTTATAAAACTAATAAAATAAACTATTATAATAGGAATTGAAATATTAGAGAAGGAAATAGAGAAGTAGAGAATGATATTCTTATTGTTCCAACTAATCAAAAGTATACTCAAGAGATGCTAAGGTACCTCTATACATAGGTACTACAAAATTAAAGGTACGTCAATTCTATTAAATTCTCATTACTACAAGAACATGAATAGCCATATGAAATGGTTCATCCAATACATGAATAGCTCTTATGGATTGAAACTGTTCATCCAATGTAATTCCTTTACATAATGTATAATGAATTATGAATTAATCCTCTTGAGAATACAAATGGACATTCACACTTTTAGTTATTTCATAACAAAACCTAATTTATCAGCAAATATTTGAACTCATTTTCTTCCCCTGCTGGTCCACATTAATCTCATCTTCTCATTCTATTCCCTACAAATATGCATCAAGACAAAAGAAATTTATTATGTGCGCATGTGGACTATGGAGCACATTTATGGGAAACAGTAAATTCGTAAAACTGATGTATCTTCTCAAGTGTACCACTATTGAAAGTTATCTCTAATTCTCATTTATGTCTTCTTCTGCATTGTTTTCACCAGTGAAGTGTTAGTCTAGCAGCAAAGAAAAGCCTAGAATTAAAATTTTAAGGTGCAATAAAATGTCTTGGGGGGTTAAAAAATCACTAAGATAAGAACTGTAATTGAGCTTTAAAGTTAGTTCATGTCTTTAGACAAAGGTTGCTTTTTTCCATCAAAAAAAAAAAAGGAGAAAGCCATCGATCTTATTCTCAATCAAGAAAGGACCTATCTGGCCTTACTTCTTAGCACTTTCTTAATCACATATTAACTTTGGAAATGAGTCAGTGACATGTTCCACGTAGCGGACTTTCCTCTAATCATAATCAATTAGTGCCTACCCGACAGTTAATTCCATTACTAAGATCCATAGTTATATTGCAAATTGTGTGGTTTTCGATGTAAGCTACATAGAAAAATATGAGCAAGAAAGAAAAGGGTCCTTGTGCATGCCCTAGAGGCTACATGTGGGCATAGTTTGGAGACAAAGTAAAGAAGCTTAGGGCGTGCAAACAATTCACATGGCACGACATTATCCCTCCCAAGCTTCCTCACTTTCCACAGCTCATCCTCCAAAATCCCACAACTCTAACAACGTATTATTCTCTTTTATCCTCCTGCCATTATAGCATTCCGAAATAGAATACACAGGCAACCTCCTCAAGTACCATTGTAGTACAGCACAAGGATTACATACCCATGGTCATGACTCTCAATTTTTATTTTTTTTTTTGTTGATAAGGGAACCCGCAACCGCTATCTAAGAGTGTGTATTAGATAAACCCCACTCTGTCTAATAACTCGCCAATCACACAGAGAGATATAACGCACTAGGCAAGACCTGTGTGACGAACAGATATTCCAGAAGAGGTTCGAATGCGAATTGACAAGAAAACATGACACCAATTCTACCATTTCAACCAACTCAAGGTACATGATTCTCAAATTTATTTGGCAACACAAGTGACACTATTCAGCAGCAAAGGAAAAGCTACTCTCATTAAGCTTATGTGGACCATTATGGTCATCCCTACTCATATATTTTTGCCTTTCATGTTACAAGAATCGTGCGCTAAATAAGTTCAATGAAACTCGTAAAGTTGATATGGAAGAAAAAAATTCCATTATTATCTGCAATCTTTCAATGTATGATTATATTTTTGTTGTTCACTTTGCAAGAATCATGCACTAAATACATTCAACAAAATTCGTAAACTTGACATGAAAGAAATTCCATTATTACGCGGTTATATCTCTCTCTCGATGCATTATTAATACTACTTCAAGAACGAATTATGCCCACCAACTGATTTTTATCCGTGCAGATGAGTCAAAAATTGAATGCCACATTGATGAGGTTGCACATTACACACTTATTTGCTAGGTTCTTGATCACTGGCACAGCTCATGGGATCCATCAAGTGATCCAATTTGATCGAAGTTGTTTGATTAAGGCCACTTGATGAATCTAACGGTAGTAAGCATTGCATGCAAGACGACATCCATGAAGACAGACTACAGAGGAATGTTCTCTGGACGTAAATTATGAGACTATTATAAGCTTGGAGCTGAAGGGGATGGTCACAAGGGCACGTGGTTTCTGATTCCTCTTAATTATTAAACTACTGCTACTTTCCAGTAATACCGTTGGGGCTCAACCTCCCAACCAGCTGTAGATAGCTGTCCCAATCTCCCCATGTGACCCCACCATGCCACCATCGGAGAAAAGATTGCTAATTTTTAATCACTTCTTGATCAAAGTTTAGTAGAGCAGATTGTGATGATGATGATGTTGGACCTGTTCTTTTGGCTATGTTCTTTTCTAAGTCTGCATCAACTAGCATAAGTATATATAACACCAATTGCTGCATAGTTCCCAAGTTTTTGTTTGGTTTTCTCCTACTAGGATATAGTTATATATAGTCACTAGTGGCCATAATTCTTTGGATCATAGTTTTCAATATGGCACAATTGCCTCCAAAAGCACCAAATATGGCACCAAATTGGCCTGACTTTTCTCACCAAAAAATTCACACGCTGGATAACTTAGGAGGAGCAAATGCTGCTACTAACCATAACCCTTTGTGGGTTGATGAATTTCTCGACTTCTCGTCGGCAAAACGGGGTTTTCACCGGCGATCTATAAGCGACTCGATTGCGTTTCTTGAAGTCCCAATGGTGGAAGAGTGCAGAAGATCAACAATTATTCCTGGCTCTGGGGCTGCTAGTGAATTTGAGAAGTTTGATGATGAGCAGCTCATGTCTATGTTTACTGATGATATTCCAACTTCTATTGACCCCAAAATGTCCTGCTCGAATCCCTCGTCGCCTTCTGATCATAACAGCATTAATGAAGATAAGCTGAATCCTTCTGATCTGCAGCTGCAGCAGCTAAAGAGTGAGCCTGAGGAAGTGCAAAGCTCATGTAAATCTGATGGACAGTTGGCTGCTAATAATGAAACTATGGACAATTCCAGTGACAAAATTGTTGATCCAAAACGGATCAAAAGGTAAGAAAAAGCACCTTCACGCTTTTCCAATAATAATATTCATGAATTACACACATATTCTTGCGTGAAGAACCCGCATTGCATTGTTATTCATTTTAGAGTTGGAAACAACTTCATTTTTTTGCATGAAACATGCAAAAGTTTTCCTAATTCAACCATGAATTTGTTTTTTAGAATCCATCTTATCATTTTATTACAAACTGATTTCATTGTAAAGATCTTAAAAAAAAAAAAAAAAAAAATGCATGCATTATCCTAGATACAAGGACTTTTGTATCTAAATAATCATCTCAACGGAGAATCATTTAGTATCGCATTACATGATGTTTTTTTTTTAAATTTTGTGTTGATTAATATCAAAATAATTGATCAAGAATACAATTTTTTTTTTTGGTTTTTATAGAATCTTGGCCAACAGACAATCAGCTCAAAGATCTCGAGTGAGGAAACTGCAGTACATATCAGAGCTAGAAAGAAGTGTAACTTCCCTTCAGGTACATTATTGGTTTATTGAACTTGTTGCAGATTAATAAATGAAATTCTTTTTTTTGTTTAACTACTGCAGCTGGCAATTGAATTCTCACATGGGATCGTCTTCTTGTTCTTGTTTGTTTGGTTAATATTGTTAAGGCTGAAGTTTCAGTATTGTCGCCAAGGGTAGCTTTTCTGGACCACCAACGTTTGGTTCTGAATGTTGACAACAGTGTTCTCAAACAAAGAATCGCAGCTCTTGCCCAAGATAAGATTTTTAAAGATGGTAAGTCTCAAATGCTACTTCACAAAATTATAAACTTTCGGGCAACTTTACATTTTATTTGATGAACTTTATTTAGTTGCCATTTCATAATGTGCCGTGCCAGAAGATACAAGAATTGTTTATTCGGCAAGTGGATACAACGTTTAACATAATTTTGCGACATAAATGAAAGCAATAATTGTGCATTATAGGTTATGATCAAATGAATGACTAACATATATGGGAATAATCAGCTTTTGGCCTTGGATTGTATGTCCTAAACTGTCTCCTTAAACCTGTCACATCACAATTTAAGGTCATCCCACATGATATCGGTTGTACCTATTCAATCATTAAAAGGATTAGATGGTTCACTTATATCATCATCTTTAGGGGTAAAAGACTTGAGATGATACTTGCTAAGATGAGTTTTAACTTTCTAAGAAAAAGTGAAGTTCAGTAACAAATTAAGTATTTAGGCATAGGTGTCAATAAATGTAGGTGTCTAAAATTAAATGATAGTTTAGGTACAAATTATGTATCTCATTGAGTACTAATGAAGCATCGATTAGAAAAACCAATTCTTAAAGCAAATGCTAGAACCGTAGGCTACTAGTTCCTCAGGTGAATCTCTTAATTATGTCCTATAATCTTCATGGACCTCACAAAATCAATATGGCAACCAAGAAAGCAAGCTGGGTCATTTTCTAAATTTAGCTGGCATTCGAAACTTCTTTCTTGCGTAATTGCTTAGTGTTGACCCATTCAGACATCATGGCAGCATAGCACTAATTTGTGCCTTCTACCTCGATCCCACATGTCCAGCTTTATAGCTATCGTTTGAAGATTGATTTTCATTTAAGAGACAACGTAGTTAATTAATGCGAAACAAAACTAGGCACCAAGAAAGAGTGGCATTGATTTTTTATTCTTTCGACGCGTCCAGTAATTTATTTAGAACCATGACATTTCTTAGACTTAGGTCTATGACACTGTGGTTTATTCATCCTACTCAATTTGCTTGTTACCCAAAGAAAAATGATCTTGTTTTTATGTTTATCAGCTATATTTTCACCGATCTACATTGTCAAACCAAGCCCTAGCTACAAAACAATAACTGCTAAGTTCAGAATTCGAACTCTGAATTTGGCAGTAGAAAGAACTCTAAGACCCCTCTCATAATCATTAAATGTTTAGAATCTCACGTTTTGAGATTATTGTAAATATTCTAATTTGTTGTAGCTGTTGTCCTCTTTTTTTTATTCTTGAAAAGTTTCACGGTCCAGTTAATTTTGTTTTCTAATGAAATTGCAGCTCATCAAGAAGCCTTGAAAAGGGAAATTGAGAGGCTAAGGCAAGTCTTTTACCAGCAAAACTTGAAGAAGATGGAAAATGCTACACCACCAGAGCCAAAAAGACAACCTGCTACTGCTGGTAATGCCTCCGCAGAGAAGGAGCAACTTGTTAATTGAAGCGCGTTTCTCTTAATACGTGGAACATTGTTTTTCAGGTATGCTAATAACTTTAGATACTTGATAAAGACTTATACGATGTTTAAACAAAATATAAATGACATGAAATTAAGGGTCAATGAACCAATAGGTGCTTTGTGAGGGGAAATTAATTTGAGCTCTCCAAACCAATTTTTTAGATCGCTTGTTTTGAAAGTTAATGCGTATTAGACTCAGTTATTATACCTTAGTTTGAGTATTGATAATTTGTATTCAGTTTTTCAATGCCTTGCCAAAGAAGGAACTGAGAACGATCGACATGCATGCTTGAGAACCCCCAAACGCAAAAGGTTATACCAACGAGAAAAAGGAATTCAATTGATCAACAGGAATTTTCAAGTTAAAGATCTTTTTTTTTTTTTTTTGGCTGGTATAACTGTATAAGTTGAATAGATTTTCTTGAATGGTTATTAACTTCCCTTAATTACCATGCAGGAAAAAAATTCAGTGGATGGTAGTGTTGATGGACATTCACATGCTGTCTTGAACATGAAAATAGGGTCCACGGAAACTTCAATGTTGCAGAGGACAAGATGAGGCCAACTTGCATATCTTTGCAATGTAGGCCAAAGAATCAATATCATAATCAATTTGTTTCTTTTCTGCTCCCCAGGCATGGGTGTGGTTAGTTTCTGGTTAGCCAATCATCAATTTGATGATTTTTTTTTTCTCTGTAACATGGGGATGGGTGTGGTTAGATTTTTGTTAACCAATCATCAAATTTCTTTCTGTTTTTCATTCTTTTAACTTTTTCAATCTTTTTTTTATTTTGGAAAAAAAAAAGTTGTGTTTAGGCAAGTGTGTTTTAGTGTTAGTGGGATTTGTATTGGGATGTATGAAAGTAAAGAAGGGGATTGTCGGGTAGTTGTTTTGATGTCAGGCTGTGGCATCTTTTTTTTCCAATGTTTCTCTCGAATTTATTGCCTGGTGGCATTCTTTATTTGTAGTTCTTATTATCATCAATAAAAAAAAAATTGTAAATATCGTTATTTATCTTGGGTGTAAAGAATGAGTAGTGATGAATGAATGAGATTGCAATCTTGATTAATTTCTTTGACTAATTTGACTTAAAAGTAACAGAGCACAAGACTTCTAAATTACAGATTTGATGTCTAGGGTTCCTCCCAACCCTCTAATGGTCAGAGCAAGAAAGTTTCAGTTGGGAAGATGTCATGTTTTATTCAAGAAATAAAAACTTTAGTGCAAATATGTGGGAAGGATATAGTACAAATAAGCATTTATTTGAAGAAATCACATCAAGCAAGGTATGGGGTGGGGGGGGGGGGGGGGAGAAACCAATACAGCCAACAGGTAAAAAAAAATGGCTATTGGGAATCAATCCTTTTCCTTATTCACATGTGCATTGGCAGGGAACAAGTCTTTTTCCCCTACAAGGTGACAGCTTTGATCATATTCATATGTGATAATTTAAGTTTATTAGCACCAACTTTTACTTGCCAGTTGCACAAACCCCTTCTAATAATCACTAATCCCTTTTGAAAAATATTTATTATTAGCCCGGTCACATGCTCCGCAGTATCTGCATCAGTACTCAGCTCTCTTTCTCCCACTTTTGGTTTAGGGAATTAAACGTTCAACAGTCTACCTAACATTCATTCAATAGATCTGAGTCACTTGCCTGTTGGCTCAGTTAGATGTGTACTCAAGTCGAGTTAAGTTTGAGTATTAGACTACTTGAGCTCAGTTGATTTGAGGCAAAATAACTGAGCTCAACCTTGTCAAGCTTTTAGAAGTGAAGCTCTAACTCGAGCTTGAGTTCAACTTTAGTTTACCGTACTTAAAGTCGAGTTTAATTAAATCTAATCGAATCTAATCAAGTTTAATAAAGCTTATTCGAGTCTAATTGAACTTAATCAAACCTATTTGAGCCTAATCGATCTCACCTAATAAAAAATTAATATTTTACATATGATTTAAAATAAAGGATATAATTGGCATTTCACAATAATAAATATAAAAAATTTAAAATATATATTATAAAAAGCTAGATTAGACTCGTCAAGCTTTTGCATACGAGAATTTGGAGCTCGAACTCGACCCATGAACTCAAACACGTAGCTCAAACTCGACCTTGACCTTGATCAAAACGAAGTTGAGTTGAACTATTGATTGAGTAGCTTGCGAGTTAGAGTCGAATTACTTGGTTCAGTATCACCCCAACATTCAGCCATTTGTTGTGATTTGAGGAATCTATAATAATCGTAGGTGGAATTGCAAAGGCCGCTTATTTGATTTGATTTAAACATGTTTAAATTCATTTTGAAAGAAAATGAAAAAATAAAAATTGAAATTTATGTTTTAATCGAGCGAAGTCACTAATCCGATTTGAACTTGAAACTAAAGACAACCTCATTCCCATTCATTAGGAATATCTGGATTATTGCATGGAGCGGGTTGAATACCTAAGAATGTTGGAAACAACTTGAACACGTAGAGAAAGGAGAGTTGGGTTTGATACTAAAAAAAAGGGATTGTAAATAGAAAAGGATAGATTCACGATCTCTCACTTACGTAAAACAAAAAGTGACACAAATTGAAATCTACAATGCGAAATGTTACTGAAGCCAGGACACGAACAGCCAAGTTGATTAGAACTGAACTTAAAAGTTCAACAACGTTGATACCCAAGAAAAAAAAAAATTTCAAGCAATCCAGCACTAATTTCATAACTAGTACACTTCAGCTTGATAGGGGGAGGGATGGGTCGGACAATACGGGGAAGAGAGTGTAAGCATGAGATCTTGGATTCGAGCCTTCTTTCTTACACTGTTAAAAAAAAGAAAAAAAAAAACTTGAGAAACCAATATTTCAGGCCTCTAAGGGAAACCATGAGGCCCTCTCAAGCATGAAGATGGAAAACTCTAATACGAAAGAACTCCAACTTGGGCCAGGAGCATAAAGCAGCTGAACAAGGGTTCAAAAGCTCTCATAGGCTCGTAAGGGCCTAATGAGGTTGTTCTCCCAAAAATGCACAGAAGCCTCTCACCTCTCAGCCCAGAATACGAGATAAGTTTGAGAAAGGAAAGGAAAGGAAAGGAAAGATGCACCAAGTTTGTTTCTAGACAGTTTTGCTGTTCTTCACAAAATTCTACAAGAAAATTTAGAAGGGCGAAAGCAGATCCCTATTAGTTGTATAATCGACTTCAACCATGAGTCATTTTGAAGCTCAAGCCCATATTCTTCTAGCAAAATTTTATTGAAGATTTGGAAGGCAATCATGAGTGGCTTATCCAACAGCCCCATTCAGGCAAAAGAGTAGACAATAAATCAGACAGATAAAAGGAGAAAGAACACAGCAAAAACAGGAGCAGCTTCATTTGTGTGAACTCCATCCGGACAAATCTAAACTACATTTGAACTAGGAATAAGCAAGTTTTACAACTCTCATCCTATATCTGATATACAGTCTGAAGAGGCCACATACCAAGTAAGCAAACATTTAGTCAACTATGCACAGATTCATGATAAGTCATAACTCAAGTTCATATGAATCAGGATCCAGATATGTCGCCAGCACGGGGCTAGAGTTGGCGGATACGATTACGATAAGTGCAAACAAATATATTTCAAAACAGTCAAATCCTTTGAGCAGAAACCCTGGAAACTCCACCAGCAATTAGTTTCTTCATAGTGAAGTCCAACATTCTGCAAAATATAAAAAAGCAACAGATTATGTCAACCGAATTAATACAATTTTTCGGCAACAAAATGCAAATGATAAAGAATTTTCGAAGTTTTAGTTAGCATATGAATTTGAGAATCTGGTGCAGAGAAAATCTCCTCGGAGGACTCTTAACAACAGCCTAACATCTAAGTCTACCTCAGGCACGTTGCAGTGCATGATTTTAGCGATTGCTTAAACTACAAAACCTCATTCCAAACTTCCAGAAAAGCAATCCTTGCAACTTACGCCAAAAATTATTTAGCACCCTCAATTCCAGAAATCACGACCAATTTTACAGCTCAAGACACAGAGTAGAGCAAGTAATGACAGAAATTTTTAATCATTTAGGTCAGAGCTGTTGTCAATAATCATGCAGCTATAATTGTGATAGAAAGTGCTGGTTACACACCTCATGAGTTGATTCATGGTTAAATGTGCCACTATTTGCTCAGATAGAGAAAATTGCCATAAACTAAACAATAGCGTCATAGGCCAAAGAAATAATCCACTCTCCAAATGAATACTTGATGATGAGTGCTTGATGGCAAATTTGCATGCTGAAAAAATAAATAAATAAATAAATAACCATTTTGGCAATGAAATGCGAAGTAGCTTCATAAAATGGCTGCAACATCAGGGATAGCTGTAGATAAAACATAAACATGTGTCTCCTTGCTTTCCTTTTGCATGGGATCTTACATGGAAGAATTCAAAAACATAAATATAGAAAATAAAGCAGTAATATATCCTATTCTCACTTTCTAAAAGAAATGAGGAAGCTAGTTGTTGCATGATGAGAAAGAACAATATCCCAAAAGTTTAACAGATCACTCTTATACTGAGAAAGACAGCTCACAAAGACAGAGTATCATCAAAAAATCCTTCTCTCTTTTTCACATCTATTCCTTTTTTCCAGAGTAAAGAAAAACGATACATTGACCTAACATCAGGTAGTAACAAAACAAGAGTAATCAGAAAGATGGAAGAAGAATCCAAAAATTTTCTTACTTTTACTAGATAAGCAAACAGAAAGTACATCAATCCTAGCAAACCTCAGCTAACTATTCAAATCTTGGTAATTATGAGTAGATGAATCCTCAATATCTCTCACCAATGACAAATAAATGTGCTCAACAGAATTCGCAATATCTAGAGGACAAGAAATTCAAAGAAGAATACTGATAAAAGCAGAAACAAAGACATGAAAGAAATCGAGGATTTCTAAATCACACTGATAGCCACAAATGAACTAGAAATAAATTGATTTGGCATGCCAGCAACTACAGCACTAAAGTTTGGTATCCTAAAGCTAATTACTGACCAGGTCTTGCTCAGTAATTTAAACGCAACAATCACACAAAAAAAAATGCTCAGAGCACTAGTCAACCAGAGAAACAGAAAGTGAAAAAGGGACGTGGTATTTAATGCAAATGATAACAGCTTAAACCCTGCAAATAGAACAGTAAATGACTGGTCTATCTTTTTCTATCGGGGGAGCTGAGCAGACACAAAGAACCATGACAACAATCACTTCATAGGGTAAACAAAAGTATTCAGTCTAAGGGCATCATACAACTGTAGATTGAGTTTTAAGTGATAGATTTCACCTTCACTTCAGCCAAACAAAAGTAAATATATTGGGACAGCACTTCATCCACTTGGAGGACATTCTGAAGTTTTCACAACTTTCTCTTCAGTTTCCATTTCTGAAGTTTCCACAGCTTTCTCTTCGGTTTCCATTTCTGCTTCGGTTTCCATTTCTGAAGTTTCCACAGCTTTCTCTTCGGTTTCCATTTCTGAAGTTTCCACAACTTTCTCTTCAGTTTCAATTTGCAAATTTTCCACAACTTTCTCTTCAGTTTCAGTTTCTGAAGTTTCCACAACTTTCTCTACATCGCATTCTGAAACTTCCACAATTTTCTGGTCAGTTTCAAATGCTGAAGTTACAACGACCTTCTGTTCAGTTTCAAATTCTGAATTTTCACCAGCTTTCTGTTCAGTTTCTGAAACCTTGGCCTTTGAATGATAATCTCTAAGCTCTTCCACACCCTTCTCAAGGTCTGCCAACCTCTTATCCAGCCAAACAACCTTGTTTAGGTATTCCCCAAATTGGAATGCATATCCTTCCTCAGCTGCCTTAGCCTTCTGCTCCAAAATTAAGCAAGCCAATCTATATTCTTCTTCTTCTTTCAGACGTTGCTTCTCTATTTCTGCAGTGGTCAATACAACCCCTCCCGGACCAGCATCTTTGTAGATTGATTCTTCAGGAAGCTGACATTTCTGCCTATATTCAGCAAATGCTTTGTTGGTTTGCTTTAAGGCCTTTCTGTAGTCTTCCAAAATATTTCCCATTAGATACAGCTCACGTTGTAGACGAAAGATCTCTGCATCTCTTTTCTGTATTTCTTCACACTTGCTCTTATGCAAATGCTCGATCATACTGTCCCTTTTCTGCACCTCATTAAGTAATACCTGCTGATTAAAGCTTGCTTGTTCCTGAGCCTGCACCTTCTCCTGGTACATCAGCCTAGCGCGGCCCATAAGTTGTTGCATTTGGTCCATGCAGGTCCCAAAATCCAATGGTTTGTTATCCCATGGACCGTCAATCCTTAATCTCTTATTGCTACCATTAAGAGGATGATGAGAGACATCATGCTCATGGTCAAGCTCTCTCTTACCTGTGTTACCATAGAATGATGGGCCACCTGCAGCCATATGCTGCAAGTCATTCCTATCAGCAACAAGATCAACTGAAGAATCATCATGAAGATGTCCTTGTGAACCATATGTAATCTGTGTTGTCTCCAAAGCTTGAAGAAAATTGCCCGTTAGTCCATCCCCTTCAAGAGTATCATCATGTGGTCCAACATCAAATCCATCCTCTTCCTCTTCTTCTCCATCCTCCTCCTCCTCCTCCCTCTCCCCCTCCAGCTCATCCCCTTCCTCTTGCCTCTCCTCAAGACTATCAAATCCACTGGCATCTTCCATATTACAAGGTTGCATGAAATGCTCACCTACATTGTTTCTTCCATGCAAAAGCCACTGTCTGTGCTCCTGCTCCTTCTCCTGCTGCTCCTCATCCTCCCTGCGCTCCTCAACATCCATCACGTCAGCAACTTTCACGTCTTCCTTTTCACCACCATCTTGCCCAAGAGTCAACTCAATATTCGGCCCTACCAATACATCATTTTCCTGTTCCGGAACTATACTCAAACCACCCTTTGTCATATCACCAACGTCATTACCACCATCCCCTTCCTCTTTTACCCCAGGATTCAACTCCACCATGTCCTGCTCTGCCATCAAAACCACCTTCTCCACGTCCAACTCCACTCTATCCTGCTCCTTTGCTACCACGTCCTCCTTCCCATCCAATTCCACTTTATCCTGCTCCTCCCTCACTAACACCTCCTCCTCCTCCTCCGCATCCAAGTCCACCATATCCTGCCCCTCCCTTGGCTCCCTCACCATCACCTCCTCCCGCTGCGACTTGATCAAATACTGCAAATGCGACGCATAATAGCAATCAACCAACTGTTCCCCTTTCAACAACTCCTTCTCAACCATGAACCAAAACAGCCCTGCCCAATCCACCTTTTCAGGATGGCCGTCTTTGATTGCCTTGGTCCAATTCAACACCTCATTCGGCATCATCCAAGTATCCTCGTGCAAAAGCACCCAATTAGAAACAAAACCCTCAATGAAGCTAATGGATTCCTCGGACAATGCCTCGAAATCCAAGTCCACCCCCTCAGCAGCCACCAAGTTCCCACTTTTCTCTTTCTTAACAGGCAACTTAAACGCCCTCGCTAAGTCTGCCCGATTAACGGCAATCCTAAACTCATTAACATAACTACACCTTAGTTTAGGATCATAGGTAGCAATCAACTGAGCAATCAAGTCAGACCTTATATTCCTATCAAATTCAATATGGAAAAAATCCCACAACCCCAGTCTCTTGAGCAACTTCTCATGCTTCGTAAAATCAAGAATCTTAGAGGGTATAAAAGGAACAGGGTTCAAATTCTCCAAAAGGGTATGCAATTTCTTCTGAATGGTCAGCTGTTTCTTAAGACTCCCTTTACCCTTCTTCCTTTTATTAAGCCTTTTTGGAGGGTTCAGTGACGGCATCCTGACGTCAGCCACAACAACATCAATGGAAGAAGGGGGAGGAGGAAAAGCAGACAGAATTATACCTGGGTTTTCTTGGTCCTCCTGATCTTCCTCCTCTTCTTCCTGTTCCGGGTCGTTTTGCTGTTGCAGGCGATCAAGATTGGATTTTTCCTGATGTGGGTTCTCTTGATCCGGTTCGGGTTGATTGATGGGGTTTATGGGCTCTAGGGTTTGGGGAGATTCATTGGCTTGATTTTCTTCTTGGTGGGGCTGTTGAAGGTGAGAGGGACTACTACACATTGGGGTTTGGGAGGCAGAGGAGGAGGAGGTGGTGGTGGTGGATAAAGAGTAGAATTGGTGATGTCCCTCCGTATTTTTGCGCCTCTTGAAGTGAAGTGTAAACTTCATGCGACGGAGCCACGGAGGAGAAAACACAGAACTCTGACTTCAGCGTAGTACTATAGTAGTCCAAGTACCACTGACGAGTAAAGCAGTATATTAGCATTCTTATGTAGTGACCTTTTTCCTCGGGCAATAGCAATGAGCATTATCTTTTTGGATTAATTACACTTGCACCCTCGAAGTTAAGTCCTTGTAAGTTGTAACACTTCACCTCTAGTAGTCAATTTTTTGCCGGCATTAAGATGAAGTTATATATTTTATGATCAAAATATTCATATCTAATTCTTAAACACACCTAATAATTATAACATAATAAATACCTATTTTTTTAATAGTTGTAAAATGCATCTAAACACAATTATATTATGCATTTCGAGCTTTTAGCACTAAAATAAATTAGATAATTCACAAAAAGGAAGTCTAAGCAACTTCATGTATTTATCTCAATGTCTATAGCAATATTTATTTTAAATGAAATAAAATTAATTAATGCATTCAAAATGAGAATTATTTGCTTTTATTTTTTATTGTAACACTTTTTAATGTGTTTTATACGAGGAGAAAGATTAAAAATAAAATTGTATGGAAAAATATATTCAGAGAATTTTTTGTTTTTTTAATGTAGAATTCAAACAATATACAAAGCATGGTATGAATATGGAATGAGATAGTGAGGAGGTGTTGAGGAGGTGTTGGAGGGTTTTCAAGTCACGGTTACAGATCAGATTAATGCTAATCTAACTAGGCATGTGAAGGAGAATGAGATAAAGGTAGCAATTTTTTCTATGAATCCCAATAAGGCTCCAAGGCCTGATGGGATGACACCCCTCTTCTTCCAAAAATTCTGGTCAACTATTAAGGAAGATGTGGTGAAAGCAATCAAAGCCTTTTTCCAGTCAGGCCGTATGCTCAAATCTCTGAATTATTCCATTATTTCTCTCATTCCTAAGGTTGAACTGCCAACTGATTTGAAACAATACAAGCCTATCAATCTATGTAATGTACTTTATAAAGTTATCTCCAAAATTCTAGCCAATAGATTGAAACCTGTCTTAGAACTCTGTATTAGCAAAAATCAATCAGCCTTCATCCCAAACAGACAGATTCTGGATAATATAATCATCTCCCATGAATGCCTTCATTTTCTTAAAAACAAGAGACAGGGTAAGGAAACTGAACATGTCTAAAGCCTATGATAGAGTTGAGTGGGGTTACCTGCAAGCTGTGATGGAAAAGATGGGATTTAACTAGGTATGGGTAGAATGGATTATGAAGTGTATCAGTTCAGTCTCCTATTCCTTTAATGTAAATGGAGAGACCAAGGAATATGTGATCCCAGCTAGAGGCATCAGGCAAGGTGATCCTCTATCACCTTATCTGTTCCTATTGTGTTCTGAAGGCCTCTCAAGTATGTTAAGGAATGCAACAAGACAGGGATCTATAAGTGGGTTAAGGATCAACAAACAAAGACCAGCAATTACACATCTATTCTTTGCTGATGACACGTTGATCTTCTGTAAAACTGTGAGGGCAGAAACAAGGAAACTAAGAGAAATTCTGGACCAGTATGAAAGAGGGTCTGGCCAAGTGATCAACTTGGATAAGTCTTCTATCTGTTTCAGTAAGAATACTAAGGAAAGGGACATGGAGGAATCTTGTGAGCCATTAGCTGGTGTAAGGACAGTGAACCAAGGCAAATACCCGGGCCTTCCATTGGTGATAACAAGGACTAAAGGTCAGGTTTTTGCTTACATAAAAGACAGTATTAAGGCTAGACTTAACAGTTGGAAAAACAAGTTCCCAAGTGCAGCAGGGAAGAAGGTGATGTTAAAAGCAGTGACTATGACCATGCCAAATTATGTTATGTCCTGCTTCAAACTACCTGTTACACTATGCAAAGAGATCACGGGATTGATGGCCAAATACTGGTGGGGTGAAACAGAAAGGAGAAGCAAGGTATATTAGTGCTCGTGAGATAGAATGATGTAGGCTAAACTGGATGGAGGATTGAGATTCAGGAACTTACTATGCTTCAATAAAGCATTGCTGGGAAAACAGATTTGGAGGATGATCAAATTCCTAAACCTCCTGGTTAGCAGGATATTAAAGGCTAAGTACTATTCCAAGGAGTCCATTCTGAATTGTGAGATCCCCAAAAACTCATCTTGGTTCTGGCAAAGTGTTATGTCAGCAAGAGAGGTAGTAAAGGGTGGTATACTGAAAAGAGTTGGCGCAGGGAAGAGTATAAGGATCTGGAAAATCAATGGATCCCAAACAATCCAAGTGGAAGGCCAACAACAATAATGCCAGAAAAGGGGGAGGAACAGAAAGTGAAAGATTTGATTTCAAACTTCAGTTGGAATAGGAATGAGGTGTATAGAAGGTTTACTAGAGAGGATGCTGAGAATATCTTGAACTATTAGTTTGTCAAGGAAGAAAAATAAGTGATGAAAAACTTGTCCATATGTTTTAGGAATTTTAAATTCTTTTTTTCTTCCACAATACAATTTTTCAATTCTTTGGTATTATGTCATCTTTTATTTTTTTTTAATATTTTGAATCATGTGACTTTCTGTTTTTTCTAATAAGATGTGTCACATTCCGACTAAAAGCATAGAATTATTCTAAAACTATTATGTAAGGGTATTAATGTTATTTGATAAAATTTTGGATGAAGAATTCATCATTAACATTTGACTAGTCGACAAAGGAGACAAAGTGCATATATTTATAATTTAGGAGGGTAACGTGTTATAAAGGATCAAATTCAAGGGGACAAATTGTAATTTATCCTATTCGTTTTTCATTGGGTAAGAGGAAGGGTGTGCAAAAAAGCACAAGGGGCTCTATAATGACAGGATGGACTATGGATGGTGAGGTGGTGTTAATGGATTGGATGATTATGCAACTATATAAAAGTAATTACATAGTGCAATTAGCTGTTGAGAGGTGCTCAGTATGAATTTAGACAGATGAGATTGGTTCTGCAACGCAATTTATTATGAATGGTACAATTTGTCTGTTATTGCCCTATATATGTAATGTGCTGCGAGAATATTTACATTCGCTGTGTTAGTACAAATATATAAAGTGTAATTAAAATTGATAATTGTAGAAATTTAGAAATTTACAATTAGTCTGTTATTGCCCTATATATAGCTTAACTTTCTCACCAACACTAATGAAACGCCACGAAAATGTCAGAAGAAGAGACTTCTATTATGAAGTTAGAAGTGACTCCTATACCATAAGGTCGGGAATGTCCAAACAAAATTATCATATTCAAGATTAATGATGACTATACGTTAAGAATTTTTTTTACACATTACATAAAACCAACTTTATTGTTTTAAAATGAATCTTTTTTTTCTTTGGCTTTTTCTTCCTCCATCTATTGGGAATCATGTTATGCTGAAGTGATAACACGTCTAGTCTTTGTAGAAAAATATATGGTTAGCTACTCATCTTCTCCAAAAAATATTTTGAAAATTTTTCTAACTTAGATGGACTTTAGAATCTGCTGATAACTATTGATCCAGATCCAGGCTCATAAAATTGCTAGTTTGCTGTGCTTTTGAATTCATGTGGCCTGCTTCATAGAATCATAATAAGCAGATCCCTAGCTCTTTAATTGGAAGTCGCAAATTTTCTCAGCACAAAGTACTATACTGATTGAGGTCAAGAAATCGGGATAAAAGACAGAAAATATGCATGCAATTTTAGATTATATAAAAGACATAGACAAAGTTAAGGGAAATTAATGAAGCATTATGAATCATCATGACAAATGATAATGTTATGGACCAGTTCTTTCTTAACCATGAATATTTTCTTTCCCTATAATCTTTGCCTAATTATGGGGTTCACTTATTTGACAAGGCATATAAAAAAAACCCTTTGCCACTACAAAATGGATTTTTCCTAACGCCTCGAATCCTCTTTTTCAAAATGATAATCAGTTTACTTGAGCTATCAATCAATTTGCTTTAGTTATTAATGCATCAGTACACATGGCAACTGATACTGAACAAAAAATAATTTCGAGATAGAAGATTCCAAGTGCTTTTTTAACGGGTGTTTAGTGGGCACTTGTTAATAAACCTAAATTATACTTAATTTATCATGTTAATACACACAGTCACAATTAATGCACATCTTATTTAGATACTTTTTCGAATTAACTACACTTTTCTGTAAAACTAACTCTTAAAATATTTTCAACGAACGTCTATTGGACACCCTGTTAGCCAAACTAATGCGTATATAAGCTCAAATGATCATTTATTCAATTATTGATTATGATTGCCCTTTTGAGTGCACTGTCTTGAGAACTAACACTGTAATCCTATTTCCCACGCAGAATGAAATTTTCTTTCTGAAGCAAGAATCTTCTTTTTTTTTTTGGAAATTAAGCAAGAATCTTTTCTTTGCCGCAATTCTTTTCGCCTAATTATTGGATGCAGTTGCTTTCGAAATGAGAGAAAAAAAAAACTTACTAATAAACAACACTAAAAAGTTCGACTCATAGGATTTGACGAGTACTCATCGAATGTTAGTATATCCGCCATCATAGGATGATCAATTTCTTTCTTAGACAAGAAGATTTTTTCCTTCCATTATTCCTTTGCCAAATCATGGGATTGATTTACTTTCCAAGATGAACAAAAACTTTGCAATATATAAACTCTCTTACAATCCACAAATCCAAGCATACAACCAGAGCAGCGAAGATCAACAATGGCTGACATCAAAACTTCTTTTCTTATTGCCCTTTTTGCAACACTTCTCCCCTTTGGCCAACCTCAGTTCACCACTTATCAGCAGATCTGTCAAAGAACTACTAATAGTAAACTTTGCATTCAAATCATCGATGCATCCACTTCATCTAGGTTGAAGGCAAATGTCAATGGATGGTTGCAGATACTGAGTGATCAAGCCAAGAGAATTTCTCTGTTTACCCTTACAAAAATTGATGATGCTGCAAAGAACAATCCAAGCCCTCGTTTATCACGAAGCCTTGACGAATGCAGAGTCGAATATAATGAAATTATTCGGGGTCTAGAACA